GAATACTCAATTTGGTTTCATAAAACATAGGTCATACCATAACTAAACCTAGATGTGCACCTATGTTTTATTTTGGTCAGGCCTTATGCATTATCCAACTTAAGCGAAGTAGTTGATAAGCTAAAATGTTGTCATTTTAAAAGTAACGTGTGATCACAAGTCAATAAGGGTCGATAGGACTTTCTTTTATTTATATGTGTAAATTTTGAGTAACATATTAGAAGTACTAAATAGTTCTTCGCTTAGATGAATAATTTATGGAGTACAATCATGCCACCAGCAGACAAGCCTATGTTTCCTGTACTACCTGGAGATCCTTATTTCCCCGACTATTCATCCATGTACCAACCCATTTCTCCAGCTGAACATGCACCGATGCAATCTGATGAGTTTAAGCCTAAAGAAGATCCAGAGGAGGATCCGGAAGAGGATCCGGAAGATGAGATGGAGGAGGAACCTGAGGATGATTTCGAAGATGATCTGGATGAAGATGAGATGATAATGATAACTGATTCAGAGTCCTCCGCCTCAATTCCACCTACTTCCAACCGCTCTTTCCTTGGATTTTCACTCCGCCGTTCTGGAAAAACTTTAAGGATTTTAGTCCCAAAACCCATTACTATAAAGTATAACTTGAGGTCCCCTCGCACTAGAAAGGGGATGGAACCACCTGTTTTGGAAAGCAATCGTGGGAACCAGAGGACGACTGAGAAGCGAACTGTAGGAACTTTTGAAGAAGGACACGCATCAGGGGCTGCACCTACATCTGACATGGACATTGACAAATTATCCTTCCTACTTGAGCAGAACGTCTGATTGCATGGACAAATGTGGCACGTCAGTGACGAACTAAGCAACAAGCAAAGTCAATCCATAAAAAACGAAGGAAGAAATGGCCCGCATGAATAAACAACAAGGTCAGTATCAGATCTTGCAAGACAACTCTCTATCAAAGAGATGGACTACCGCCATAACAGCTGGATTAATTTCAATTCAAGAGTAACCAATGTGGAAACTCAAAACCAAATTGCCCTTTCCGTGGCATATGCAGTCAAGGAGAGTCATGCTATGCTAGTGGGAAAACACTAAACACTAGAGGAAAAACATAAATACTCTAGAAGACAAAATATTGATGACATGTTCCCGCTCGGTGGACAATTTTTTTTATAGTTTTTATAAAACTAATTAGTCGAGTTTTTGAGAAACGTGCAAATTTTGGCGACAAACGTTTCGGATATGTGTTAGGATATGTAAGCATATGTGAACCTTATTTGTTTATTAGTTGGTCTTTGTACCACTAATAGCAAGTCTTTACATTTTGAGAATGGTAAAGACTAATGTACTCGAATGTTAATGTTTAATATAATAAAGCATATGTTGTTAAGTTTAAAAATATTTTTTTGAACTATTATATGAATCGTTGTCACACCCCAAAACCGAGAACGGCGGAAACGTTCTGGGGTGGAGGACGTCATGTATAGTATCATAACAATGCATAATAGTAAAGACAAGCAACAACATCCATTGCATTAATATAATAATTGTAATACAAGCGTGTTATGTACAGTTTGTAAGACACCAAAAGTATAATCAAAATAAAAGATGAGTCTTGTATGTACTCCATCTCCTCAAAAGCTTCATCTGTACCTGTCTACTGATGACCTGAGAATACAAGTTATTTTGAAAACGAGTATCAGCATAAAGCTGGTGAGTTCATAAGTATTTAGTGTCATTGCTTGTATAAAAGTGTTTGCAACAATGCAGTGTAATAACTATTTTCAATGTTTGTAAATAGTGTACTTCCTAGAAAATCCTATATTTTCCAGTAAAAAGTAGTCTTCTACCAAGACCCGATTGTTTGTATATTTGTACTTTCATAAAATGTGAGGGTTTTCCCAGTGAAACTATCTGTATGAAAATATAGTTTACTTAAACGAGTATGTGACAGAGTCACAAAATAATGAAATACAGACTCCAGGTAGTACTAAATGTACAGTACGCCTCGAAGAGTCTAAACTAGTAACATGTAGACTCTAGGTAGTATTAAATGAACAATACACCTCGAAAAGTCTAAAGAAATGAAAATGTAGACTCCAGGTGGTATTAAATGAACAATACGCCTCGAAAAGTCTAAAGAAATGAAAATGTAGACTCCAGGCGGTATTAAATGAACAATACGCCTCGAAAAGTCTAATTTGCCTTTAATTATTAAATGGGTTAATTAAAGGTATGAATGTGAACTCGTATGTAACCATGCTGATCGACAGCTGAATAACTGATGACCCTCCAGGTCATATATAGTGAGGTAACATTCTGTCACCCCTTGGCCTTTCGGCTCAGACTGTAGCTAGCAGTCAGGATGTGGGAGTGTCTGTCCCATATAGATCCATACACACAATGCCCGCTCTCCCTCCAGGAGACTCTGGTTACAAAGTGATAGCACAATAAAGTGTCGTATCGAGCAGTAGTATGCCACATTCTTTTTATAGTATTTGAATGTTTATGTAGTATGTCATAGCGTAGTGATGTTCGCTCCTTTTACTAGTATATAGTATGTTCTCTTGTATAGTGTATAGTATTCTCTTGTATAATTTATAGTTTTCTCTTGTATAAAGGATAGTATTCTCTTGAGTATATCCTTGTACTTGTAGTAGTAGTGAGTAGTAATCCCCTAACTACACCTATATAGTTAAATAGTGATGTGGTTGGTATGCCTTTGTTACACAAAGGTGCTGAACTGAAATGATGCTTTTATATCCGACACATATATATGTGATATATAACTAAGATTTCAACGACATTCGGACAAATAACAGGATACCCTAAGTCCACAACCAGACAAGGAACAGGAAATAAGGTGAGCTATCAGTCCTAAGTCCTTCAAGTCTTACTTATATAACTATATTGGTGTAGATATGGTTTGGAAATAAAATCAGTTTATAAGAGTTTGGAAATAGTTTTATAAAACAATTTAACATGAAAGTGAGTTTGATAAACATTTTGAAGCAGTTTTGTTGACAAAGCAGATAAAAATATAGAAAATCCTTTTGGTTGCAAGTTATAATTCACATGTGATTGATACTATAACTTGTTTGATGCAACTTGTATTCCCCCCCCATAAAAGCATTTAAAAACATTTAAAAGGTTGATTAAGGGGTATGAACTCACCTGCAGTGAGTAATCGAATGGAAGATCGATTATAGGATTGTTGGGTGTCAAATAGAGTCTTGAGCACAAACGAATCCTATTTAACATATAATTACATATATGTGAATACATTAGTAGATATAACCACTAATGGTGATAGGGACATGCCTTAAGGACATAAAAACACTTAGAATTAAGTGTTACCAACTCATATGGTTGCACATAAGGAGTGTATGGCCCTATATTGGAGTGTAAGGCCACAAAAGCATGGGTTTTGTGTGTGTGCGGCTAGAGTGTGCGGCCAAGTGTGTGTGCGGCCGCACACTCACTATGGTGTGTGTCAAAATCGTGGTTTCAAGCCTTTGGGATGTTCTAGTGAAGGTGTTTTGACCATTGCTTAGCCGGATTGGGAGTTTGGGGCCATTTTGGACCCTAAAAAGTGTGTGTGCGGTTGCACATGGCGTGTGCGGCCAGGTGTGTGCGGTCAGGCCTGTGTGCGGCCGTACACACTCCTACAAACTTGTCCAAATCGATTTTCCAAGGCTTTGTGATGATCCTAAGAAGGTGTTTTGGTCGATGCTAAGCTTGGGTGAGTGTTAAGCCATTTTAGGAGCAAAAGATGTGTGTGCGGTCACACATGATGTGTGTGCGGCCGTACACACATGAAGATCATCTAAAATGATGATTTCATGGATCAAACTCGAGGCAAATACTTTCTAACGTGTAGTAGTAAAGATCTAAGGGTGTTTACTTACTTGTTTTGAAGGGTTGGAGAGGAAAACTTGAAGAATCCTTGAGAGAGAATGTTCCAACTTGAAGGAGTGTGAAAAAGGGTGTAAGGTTGACTTAGGGTCCTTTATATAGGCTGGAGTGGGGGGCTAGGGGGGTGTGCTGTTGGCTGTGTGCGGCTGGCCGGCCACACACTCGGGTGTGCGGCCGCACACACCTTGCAAGGTGTGTTTGGCCCGATTTTGTGATGTTTTACGCATTCTAACCCTCCCTAAGACTCATATCTTGATCGTATTAAGCCTAAAGCACTTTATATGGACCCAAAACTTATTACAAAATAGCAAAACGAGGCTAACTTTGATAAAATGAAGAATGTACCGGTTAGGAATTTCGGGTTGTCACATCATCCTCCCGTTAGAGGGAATTTCATCCCGAAATTAGAGTTCAAGCACTAAGTTATTACAACATAACTAAGTAAAAAGATGAGGATATTTAACTTTCATTTGATCCTCGCGCTCCCAAGTGAATTCAGGTCCTCGCTTGGCGTTCCAGCGCACCTTCACTATTGGGATACGGCTTTGTTTTGTTCGCTTGACCTCTCGGTCCATGATCTCTACAGGTTCTTCCACGAAGTTGAGGCTCTCGTTGATCTCGATCTCATCGAGTGGGATTACAAGAGTCTCGTCGGATAGGCACTTTTTCAAGTTCGAGACGTGGAAGGTAGGATGTACGTTACTGAGTTCGTTGGGTAAATTGAGTTTGTAAGCTACGGGGCCGATTCTAGCGAGAATCTCGAAAGGCCCTATGTACCTTGGATTTAGCTTTACACGCTTTCCGAAGCGTATCAAGCCCTTCCAGGGTGGGACTTTCAAAAGGACTCGGTCTCCCACCTGGAACTCCAAAGGTTTCCTTCGTTTGTCTGCATAGCTTTTCTGTCGGTCTCTAGAGGCTTTCAATCATTAACAAATCTGAAAGATCTTCTCGGTCGTTTCCCGAATGATTTCCAGACCCATGAGAGTGCTGTCAGGAACTCGTCCTTTAGCTAATTGAGTGTCACCCACCTTAGCCTAGCACAGAGGGGATCTGCACTTCCGGTCGTAGAGGGCTTCAAATGGAGCAGCCTTGATGCTCGTGTGATAACTGTTGTTGTAAGAGAATTCGACAAGAGGCAAGTGAGTATCCCATGCCTTCCCAAAGTCGATCACACAGGCTCGCAGCATATCTTCCAAGGTTTGGATAGTTCTCTCACTTTGTCCGTCGGTTTGGGGATGGTAGGCTGTACTCATGTTCAGCCTCGTTCCTAAGGAGCTTTGTAGTGACTGCCAGAACCTCGAAGTGAATCTACTATCTCTATCGGAGATAATAGATATAGGAACACCATGCAGTCGTACGATCTCCCTAATGTATGTTCATGTAAGCTTCTCCATCTTGTCTGTTTCTTTGATAGGTAGGAAGTGGGCGGATTTGGTCAATCTGTCGATGATGACCCATATGGTATCAAGTCCACCCATTGTCTTGGGTAGCTTGGTTATGAAGTCCCTAGTGATCCGCTCCCACTTCCACTCAGGTATCTCCGGTTGCTGGAGTAGACCTGATGGTTTCTGGTATTCGACCTTAACCTTTGCGCAAGTAAGCGAAGGTAGCAATTTCTGCTTTCATGTTAGGCCACCAGTATGACTTTTTAAGATCCAAATACATCTTATCTAAACCCGGGTGGAAAGAATATCGAGTGTTGTGAGCTTCCTTCATGACCAAGTCTCTGAAGCCACCGTGTTTCGGGGTCCAGATCCGGTCCATGAGATATAAGGCTCCGTCACCCTTGGCTTCCAGGTTCTTATCCATTCCTCGTAGGGATTCTCCCGCTACATTTTCAGGTTTCAAAGCTTCAAGCTGAGCCTCCTTAATTTGTGCGGGTAGGTGCGAATGGATAGTCATGGTCA